TTTTCTTCTTGGAAAATGAAGTGGAGAATTCCTCTATAATCTTTCTTTTATCTACTTAGAAAATGTTAAAATTCCTGCCTACACCATCACTATTTGAAGCACATGTCATTGCATTCTCATCATCATTGTCGCTAACGAGAACAACAATTGATCAAAAGACACACCCTGTCAGCTACTGTATCCAAGTTATTCTCTGTATCCAAGTTCATCCCGAGGATAATCACCAAAGCCACCAGACAGCTTTATGATGCCAATGAAGCAAAATCATGAGCTATTCAATAAAACTCGTATTGTAAAGAAGAAGAAAGAGACTGATTCAGAAAGGTGGGTCGAGGGTCAAGCCTCGACTATACATGTACGTTTTTTACTTTTCATTAAGTATTTTTATTTACTTTTATATAAATTTTGAAATACTAATTTAATATAATTTTTCTTATAGGTTCGCTTCACACCTGATGTGGAGGAATTCATACGCAGTCAGCCACCTAATGAGTCGGGCGAGGCAATCCAACATTCGGACGATGATGTTGAAAGAACACTCCTTGGGTACTTTATATACTTTGAACTAGACAATAGAACTAGCTTTCGAATGGGCTTGTAATAAGCGTTAACTTAGTTTTGTTAGCTTAATGTGTTAGTTCTATTGAACTTTATACTTCGTTGGTTTTAATGTTGTTGTTGTTGTTGTTGTATTTGTTGTTGTGTTGTTGTTGGTATTGTTGTTGTTGTTGCGTGTAATAGGGATTTGGTATGCTGGCAGGTGGTGTAGCTGCCAAAACAGGTAGTTTCTCCCAAAATAATACCCAGAAAAGCGACCAACTTTGATCTCTTTTTGGTCGCTTGTCATTTAAAAAAAATAATTTGACGGGCAATAGCGACCAAAGTTGGTCTCTTTTTACCCAGATTTCTTAAAAAGCGACCAACCTTGGTCGCTATTCCATTAAAAAAAATTAAATTCTTGACATTAGCGACCCACTTTTGGTCGCTTATTTTTAAAAAAAATTAAAAAAATAGCGACCAACCTTGGTCTCCATTTTCCAGATTTTAAAATATAATATTTGGATTAAAGACCAAAGTTGGTCGCTGTTTTATGAATAATAATAAATCAATAAATAATATATTTTACATTTAGAGACCAACTTTGGTCGCCAAATTTATATTATTAAAATAATAAAGCGACCAAAGATGGTCGCTATAGTCAATACCCGGAATATTTGGTCATTTTACCTTAGAGACCAAAGTTGGTCGCTAATTAGCGACCAACTTTGGTCCCTAAAGTGAAGGGACCAACAATATAGCGACCAGGCATGTTTGGTCGCTTTTTGGTCGCTTTTGGGCCTATAAGCGACCAACTTTGGTCGCTTTTTGTGGTCGCTTTTTACCGGATTTCTAGTAGTGGTAGTAGAGTAGGTAGTCTAGCTAGGGTGTTCATAACAGTAGTATTGGCACGCAGTCTCGCTTTCTGTTGGTAGTAGATTTTTATGACTAACCGTTATTTTCTTTCATTGTTGATCACCTTACTATTTTGTTGTTTTTATTCTGCTTTTTTATGACTTTTTGTACTGTCCTTTCTTGTCTATATTTTCATTAATGTGCTGCTTATGCTTTCCTGAGCCGAGGGTCTATTGGAAACAACATCTATATCCTCACAATGTAGGAGTAAGGTCTGCGTACACACTACCCTCCCAGACCTTATGGTATAAAATAATACTGAATATATTATTGTTGTTACTGCAATAATATGATGGAAAAGAAATACTCTTTGTATTGCCGGCTTACATATTACTCTTGCCAAAGGCTGATATATATGGGATTCCTTACTTCATCTTTCCTGTTACTGATAAACGTGAAGAACTTTAATTTATTCCTAGCCTTGCTTCATCCTAGGTGCTAATTCCTAACATATTCTTATAGACTTATACTGCACCGTACGTTTCAATATATGTGAATCTGTTTGACACTTTAACTGAGGACAGAGTTTAAAAAAAATAAGACTTTTGAAATTTGTGGTCCTAAACAAGTAAAACGTAAACTCAACAACTTGTAAAATAAGATAACTTACCTGTTATAACATGCTAAATAATATGGTAAAATTTCCTTCTACATCTGCTTTATTAGTGTACGTAAGTTGAATTTTCATCAAATTCTTTTATTAGACATTTAATATAGTTAATACTAAAAAAATAATATTAGGTATATATGATTTATAAATTTATTTATTTTTTCAAATGTTGACATCGCTTATAAAAAGATGAAGAATTAACCCAAATATCCGTCCATTCAATCACTTAAACTAAAAATAGTCAGTTGAGGTATAATATATGGATAATTTATGTATTATATGTGTATAATTATGTATAATCTATGTATATGGAAAGAAAAAATAAACGATAAATATTACCGGTAGGATAAAGATTCCGTAAAAGATTCTACGCATGCTATTAATTTGATAGAGAGAACATTGTGTAATATATTATGTACTCCCTGTACAATTATTTTTAGTAACCATAACTGATAATATGAAATTGAGGGAGTACGTGTTTTCTTTATATATAAAACAAGAGGTACATAGTGGACCTCCAATTTTTTGAACCGAAGTAAGGTTTATTTTATTATGAAAAATAAAATTTCCATGTGGAAATAAAATGTTACATTTTGAATGGTCCTAAATTAGCTTCACATTCCATGTTCAACGTTTCAAATGGAAAGATATATAGTGTACCCATCATTGTTGTCTCCTGTCATAATCATATCTTGTTGTCATTATAATAACGTGGACGGACCTGATTGAATCGTTGCCATCGTAATTAATACTAACACTTAATTATTCATTAATTCCAGTAACAATTACTTAATTATTCATTAGACACTGAACTCTTCTCAATTTGCACAGTAGATTGTCTTTGCACTTTGGAAACAACCAATCAGGAACATACAAATATTTCTAGCTTTTTATTGTTTTTATTCCCCACTCGAAACTTCACTTGATAATATTTTTTTCCGTTTCAATAACGTATCCTTGTTTTTTTTTTTTGGTTTTTCATCCGGTGTTTGCTATTCGTTTTTTTTTTGGTTTCAACTTGGCTCTTTGATGATGGAGAAAAGAAAAAAAATTTGACTGTTTGGTTTGCATTTTGGTTGTCGATTTAACTTAGTTATCGTGTTATTTTTATAAGATTTTACAGCTAAGATCTCCAAACAGTTTAACTCGTCTGTATAGTGTAAAGTTTTTATTTATTTATAACAAACTCATAACAATAAGCAAAACTATTCATAACAAGCTTGAGAGGAATCTCAAAAAATAGACTAAATACTTGTAATTAGAAGTCAAAGTACATTGGTTGATATTTTTTTTAAAATATTGGTAGTGTAAAGATTCTTTACACTTCCAATGAATTTTAACATTTGGTAAAATGTTAGTAATTACATACTACTACTATAAAAAAGTGGAGTCACATATCATAGAATTTCTCCCACCAAATTCCAACTTTCCTTTTCTCCTCTTATTATTCTCCACTTGTTATTCATCTTCTTCTTCTTCAATTCCCACTTTCATTCATTAATTGCTTTATCTTTTTGACATTTCCTTCTCCTCCCTCACCACAACATAAGCCTGATAATAATTATGTTGCCTTCTGAAAATACTTCCCCTAGAAAAACATTCAAAAAACTCAGAAATTCATTCCATTTAATCAAATCTCAAGTTGGTTTTCATCACTGTAAATGGTTTTTCCTTATCATTTTAATCCAAATCTCCTTCATTCTCTTCCTCGCCGGAACTTCTACTCCGGCATCACCACCCCAACAACAACAACAACAACAGAACTTCCAAATCTCGAAACCTCAACAGAACAAACACCAAAAACAGAGCAAACAACGTGAAAAGTGTGAATACGGTAGGGTTTATGTTTACGATCTACCAACAAAGTTCAACAAAGATCTATTAAACAACTGTCATGATTTAGACCCATGGAGTTCACGTTGTAACGCCGTTTCAAACGGCGGTTTAGGTCCAAAAGCAACTGGACTTGACTCAATAATCCCCAAAAATCTCCTCTCCGCTTGGTATTGGACTGATATGTATTCAGCAGAGGTAATTTACCATGAAAGAATGTTGAATTACAAGTGTAGAACCTTGAACCCGACAAATGCTACTGCTTTTTACATACCGTTTTATTCAGGACTTGCAATTGGTAAAATTTTATGGTTTACTACAGCAAAAGAACGAGATCGACCTAGTGAAGAAATGTTACAATGGGTTAAAGATCAACCTTATTGGAAAAAGAATAACGGGTCGGATCATTTTCTTATGCTGGGTAGATTAACTTGGGCTTTTAGAAGAAAAACTGATGATGATTCAGATTGGGGTACGAGTTTTCTCCGAATGCCATTAATGAAGAATGTTCTCCGTTTATCTGTTGAAAAATTTCCATGGGATGATTTAGAGGTAAGTGTTCCATATCCTACAGCTTTTCATCCTCAATTTGAATATGAAATTAAACAATGGCAAGATCTAGTAAGGTCGAGAAATCGTACTAGTCATTTCTGTTTTGTTGGTGCTGTGAGAAAGAAAATCAAGAATGATTTTAGAGAAGTTTTAATGAATTATTGTAAGAGCGAGTCGAGTTCTTGCAAAGTGGTTGATTGTTCTGTAGCTCATTGTTATGACGGAGCACCAGCAATTTTAGAAGCATTTTTGGATTCAGATTTTTGTTTACAACCAAAAGGAGATGGATATACACGAAGATCACAGTTTGATTGTATGTTAGCTGGTTCAATACCTGTTTATTTTTGGATAGATAGCTTTAAGACTCAATATCAATGGCATTTACCTTTGCCATATGAAGATTATTCAGTTTACATGGATCATAATGAAGTTAGAAATGATACTTCTATAGTTAGAAAAGTTCTTGATAAGTTCAGTAAAGAAGATGTGAGAAAAATGAGAGAGATTTTGATTAATGTTATGCCTAAGTATTTGTATGCAAGATCCAATCAAGGATTAGGGAGTAGTAATGATGCTTTTGATATTGCAATTGAGGAAGTTTTGAAGAGATTTAAGCAGCAAAGGGAACAACAACAAATCTCGGATAAAACAAGTAAAAAAGGCAGCCCGGTGCACTAAGTTCCCGCTGTGTGCGGGTTCGGGAAAGGATCAGATCAAAGGGTTTATTATACGCAGCCTTACCCTGTATTTCTGCATGAGGCGGCTCGAACAAGTGAAGCTGAAAATTCTATAGAATAAAGCAAGAATTGAAGGTACACTACTCAATAGGAATTTTGAGTCCTCATTCTTTTTTTGTTTAAAGCAATTATTTTTTGTTTTTTTTATATCTTGAATACAAAGGGAGCAGCTGTTAGCTGAATAAGAAATTGTAGTGTTAGTAGATGAAGGTGTTAGCCACACCAAGTAGATCATCTCTACAACATATCATATACCTTTTTTTGTGCTTTGTAAATTTTGATCATTGATCTAAATGTTACATGATACTTCTGTTCAATGTGCTTGTAAATTCAGTGGAAAAATATAATGAAGAGTGGGATGGTATATTTTAATAATATCTTGCTTAGTGTATTCAAATATTTTCAGCGAAGAAGAACTTGGAACAACGGTAAAGTTATCTTTGAGTGACCAACAGGTCATATGTACGACTCGTGAAATCAACTACTGATTTTTGCATCAAGGTAGACTACCTACATCACGACCCTTTGGATACGACCCTTCCCCAAATCATGCATGAGCGATAAATACTTCATATACCGGACTGTCTTTTTTATTTAAATATTTTCAGCCATACATCTTATTATTAACTCTGAGGTTAATAAATATATGGAACAACCAATTTGTTCCATAGAATTCTTAGCCTTGTTTGGTCCTTTCTCTTCAAAAGATTTCAAGTTTCTCAACTTTTTTTCTTTTTTCTTGAATGACCATTTCAGCTAAAAGCTAAAGAGTATGAAATATGAACTTAGTTAATTTCTCTTTTCTTCTTTTGGATATAAGTAGTAAATTATCTTACTATTCATCTTTTTAGTTAAAAATAGACGTGCTTATAAGTAACTATCTTTTCCCCCTTTATTAAGACAAGAAAACAGACAAAAAATTGAGGAATACAATCTTTTGCATGTTTGGTTTGAAAACATTTTGCCTGATCTAATTAGAATTAATTAGAATTTTGATTAGTTATTCTTTTAACCAAAAATATTATGTGGTTAGTGTACAAATACCACCTTTTTAGTAATGACTATGTAAATTATCTTCAATTACTTGTCTAAGTAAGTAGAAATAAAATAAGACTCTTTGAGTAAACTTATAAGCACATTCTTGTTCTAGTTTAAGCTTAAAAAAAAAAATACTTGTAAGCTAGTTTGATAGACTTATAAGTTTACTTAAAACACCTTTTCACCAACAAATAAAGTAAAGCAAAAAAATTAGTTTATTAGCAGATCCTTAAATTACGGAGTTAATTCTAATTTGATATTTTATACTAATGTGGACTGATTTTCAACAACTTTTGAAAAGTCAGCCGACAACTTGCAAATTTTGTTGACTTCCCCACTTCGATCGTAATACACCCTTTAACCCTGGCACATGGCTTGCTTTTCTGATGTTAAACATGTCATCAAGGAAAAAAGTAATTATTGAAAAATGATTCTTTTGGACCTCCACTGATTCCTTAAAACAGTTCGTGGTTCGTGTTAGGGGTATGAATCACTTTTGTTCGAAAGCGCTTTATCCTTAAATATGAATTTTTTGGCTCGAATCCGAACTTAGTTGGGTTCCAATAAAGATACCAAACACTGCAATGGAAACCAAAAAGTCAAATCAAATAATATTGAGTAACTAAGAGTTTGGAAATAGTGTATTTTTTTCCTTTTTCTTTTCTCCGTCTATTTTCTATTCGCATCATGGGAAACTTCCTCACTTGTGAGAATACACTTACGTTGTTGTTGTTATAGTACCGTGAGATACCTTTTTGACAAAGTTATAAGTGTTTGACCAAAAAGTGTTGAGCCTTTTAGCTAAACTAATCAATGAAGAAAGTAGAGGATAAATCTTAGCCAAACGTAATTAACTTTAGATCTAGACGTATTGAATATGAGAATCACATGAAACTAAGCTTGCATAACATTACTTAGGATGATTAAAGAACATTGAATATAAATGGTAAGCTTACATCTTTGACACCAAATTGTTTTGTATTTGAGAGAGCCAAGAAGAAAGAGAAGGGATCTCGTTGAGAGCTAAGAGATCTATCTTTATTGATTCAATAGCATTGATTACAAAAGCTTGTAGCCAAAATCTAGACTTCTACTTTTTTGTTAGTGGTCTCCTCCCATTCTTCTGTTCCTTTTTCTCTCCTGGGACAGCCCTCCTGTTCTTGCTTTCTTCTGTCATATATATATATATATTACCATCTTCCTCTTTGCCCAACGGTCTTTAACCAGCTTACCCCCTATTTGACCATACCCCCTATACTCGCTCAAGCGCGACTGCATATATTCTGCAGTGCAAACCTTTCGATGGCTCGACCTCGGCAATGGCCGAGACACTCGTCGCGGTTACGCCTTACGTGTACGTCCATGGCTTGGTCGACCCTTTCCATTCCCTTTAATGATAATCCACTTGTGGTCAGATCTTGACCCGTACAGTTAGTCCCTCCGCCTGTTGGGGTCGCATCTTGGTGAGCTCGATGGGCGGATTCTGTTGATTCAAAAGTTAGGAGAAATCTGATCGTTATGTGAGAGTCGAGATACTTATGGCGAGGTAGCGACGTGACGCTTCAAGAATCTCATTGAACCGTTACATCAATTCAAAGTTAGGCCGTCACATCAATTCATGATATCATGAACGCTTATTATGCGTCATTATGGCGCATGTTTCCCAGGCGCCGTATCGTTTCCTGTGCCCTTTTCGTTTCCTGTTTGGCGGCTCTCGGGTTTCCCGCTCAAGACATTTATGTTTCTATAAATAGAGAGAACCTCTCATTAGATTGTTGCGCTTTTCAATTTGTCTAAGAAAGAAATTCTGCATACTTCCTTCTCCTCTAATCTTTCATACTTCTGCTTTCGCTAGAATTCGTTGTGACTATTGCCTTTTTTTCCTTCATCGTTCTTGTTTATTTCGATCGAAGAAGACAAATGGCTAGTACTCCTTCTTAATTTGATAGAGCTGTCGGTGCTCCGGTGCCGGAAAGTGACGTATCCCTATTCGTAGAGGGAGCGGAGGCGGTGGAAGACGAAGGATTTCCGACAGTGGATGAGATAGTTCCTCGTTCGGGGAAGGCGAGGACCGTTTTCAACAGCCCTGCTGAGGATGAACTGGAGCTAATGCTGTATTGTGGGCCGGTCTGGGACCGGGACCGGACCGGGCCCGCGGTCTTAACGGGCTAAACGGTCCCGGCGGGCCGGTCCTGGTGGGCCGGTCCCTGATGGTGTAGAAAGCCCGTGGCGGGCTGGTCCCTTGCATGAGGCCCACGAGACCGGGACCGCTAAGCCCGGGACCGGCAGGCGGTCCTGGGCCGGTTCAACCGGGCCTAACGGTCCTAACGGGCTCCAACGGCTCTTTTTTTTAAAAAAAAAAATTTTTTTTTAAAAACGACCTAACGGTCAGATTTTAAAATCTAGCCGTTGGCCTTTAATTTTCAACCGTTTGGAACTTTAAAAAATAGCCATTTGGCCCCCAAACTTTATTTTAACCCCAAACTTTATATAATTACACTTTTTCCCAATTCTCAACTATAAATACCCCCTCATTGTTTCATTTTTACTCACCTATTCATCAATCTATCTCAATCTCTCTCAATCTCTCTCAATCTATATCTAATTTCTCTTCTATATATTTTATTATTGCAATTTCGTGAAAATTTGTGAAGTTGGTGAATTGAAGTATTCAAGTCTTCAACGATTTTCAATTTTCAAGAAGTTGTTCGGCAATTCGGTAAACTCGTTCCAACTCTTAAGTTTTAAGAATATATTTTTGTGTGTTTAGTTTGCATAATTGTAATTAATATGGCATTTTCTTTGGAAAAGCTAAAATTGGTGAAAGTAGTCTCCAACCTACTACCCTTCCCCCGGCTCCCCGACCCAGACCTGTTACCCGTCCTGCTGCTCCTATTATTCTTGATAGTGATAACCCTTGTTTTCAATTTTCCGATAGTGAATTTTGCCATAATGTTGCACCAGGTGAACAATTAAATGAAGAAGTTATGAATGCTCTTTATCCTAATCAAACTATCTTAGAAAATGATGAGGAAAATGAGGATGTAGATGAAACCCAACCGGATTTAGATGATTCACCTACTAGTCCTGTTAATAACCCAACTGATGCCCCGCCCGACCCACCTGTAGAAACCCCTACTTTTAATAGACAACCTTCTAAACGCCTAGAAACATCAATAGTTTGGAATTTTTTTACTCAAGTAAGAGAACAAAATAAGGCAAGTGTAAAACTTGTGGGAAATTGCTGGCGCATAAATATACTGGAGACCGTAGCGGTACGGGTAGTTTGGCTAGGCACATACAAACACACCCTAGAGATAAAGTTAAATATTTACAAATGAAAGCGCAGCAAGAGGGGACAAGTGTAGATACTGCGGTTAACCCTAGTACAGGTTCAAATCTAGTTCAACCAGGAATTAACACTGTGACCGATTGTATTTTATATTACGATCCTAATAAAGATCGTGAAGAATTAGCAAAGATGGTTACCGTTATGTGCTTACCCTATACTTTTCCTTCTAACCCTAATTTTGTGCATTATATTAGAAAAGTTTTTAATCCTACTTATAAAGGTTGGCCTCGCGCAACAGTTAAGAGCGATATTTATAAATATAAACATGAATATGAACAATATTTGCGGTATTTATTTACTCATATAACTAATCGGATTTCTATTACTACTGATATTGGTAGAAGTAATAATGACTGTGATTATCTAACTGTTACAAGTCATTGGTTAGATGAGGAGTGGATAATGCAAAAACACATTATTGCTTATAGAATAATTAATTCACGTCACACAGGTAAGTTTATTGCTAACACTGTTGCAGATATTTGTAGATATTTTTGCATTAGAGATAAAATAATGACAATTTCTATGGATAATGCTTCTAGTAACACTAGTGCTATAGGCATACTTACAACAACACTAAATCATGCATTTAGTAATTGTTTCCATGTGAGATATATTTGTCACATTTACCATTTAATCGTCGGTGATGGTATGAGAATTTTAAATTTAGAAATTGAAAAGGTTAGAATGGCTCTTAATTGGCTTTTTTATTCAAACCGTAGAAGTAGACTTAGAGAGTATTTTAAAAAATGTGATGAATTTGGCCTTAGAGAAAGAAAGGTTCCTAAACCTTGTCCAACTAGATGGAATTATATGTATGAAAGTTTAGTAGTTGCATATGAATATAGAAACCCAATTAATGCAACGTTTAATGCTTGTGTTGGTGGTGAGGATGATGATGAATCCTTACAATCAAGATTGGACGAATGTTAAAAATTTTTATAGATTTTTTACACATTTTCAAATTGCTACAAATGCATTTTCTGG